GCCGACGTTCTGATAGGGCTGTCGGTCGTCGTCCTGCTAGGGCTGCGAGCCGACGTCCTGTTGGGGCTGTCGGTTGTCGTCCTGCTGGGGCTGCGGGCCGACATTCTGATGGGGCTGTCGGTCGTTGTCCTGCTGGGGCTGCGGGCCGATGTTCTGCTCGAGCCGTTGGTCGGTGTCCGGCTGGGGCTGAGTGCCGAAATCCTGCTGGTGCTACGGGTGGACAGCTTACCCTCAGGACTGGGGCTGAACGCGGCGTCCCTCCTGGCGGGACTGAGCGTCACCTCCCTCCTGCTGGGGCTCCTGCTGGGGCTCGCCGTCCTGTCGCGCCACGAGTCCCGCAGGCTGGAGCGCTCCCGCGAGCACGGCGCCGCCGTCACGCTCACCCGGGGCGGCTGCAGCGAGCCGGACGAGCTCCGGCTCTCCAGGGACTTGATCTTGGACACGACGAAGCCCGCCCGGGTCTTGGTGGGCGAGCGCAGGCCGTTGGTGGTCCTGGAGGCGCCCACAGCGGCTGGCCCTGCAGGCAGCCGGCCTAGGCCAGCTGCCTTATGAGCGGCGTGGCCGGCAGCGCCCTCCCCACGCTCGCCCGCTGCCAGGCCTGCGGCGCCTGCTGCTGCGGCGCCTGCTGGAGCTAGAGACGGGGCCACAGAGTTAGACGCCAGTTTCTGGAGGAGTTCGGCAGACCTCCTGGACACCGTGTTCATTCCGTCATGGTTGGGCGCCTTAGCGGGGTGAGTTACAGGCGGGGAGGCAGGTTTAGCATGCAGGGGTTGCAAAGCGGGTGCAGGCAAGGGAAGATTGCTGGGGCGGTTCGAGGCAGCGGCCGGGATCGGCGGAGACGGCTCGGCCGGCACCGGGACCTCGTCGGCCTCCTCGGAGATGGAAAACTTCTTGCCGAAGAGGGCGGCGGGCGCGGGGAGCTGCTTCGATGACGCCGACGAGCAGTCGCTGATGCCCGAGTCGCTGCGCTCGCTGCGGAACCGCCCCCGCGGCAACAAGGTGGCCGTCACAGCCTCCTCGACGACCGCCGCGTCGGTGTCCACGACCTCCTGGACCGCGGCAGTGGCGGGCTCCTCCTCCTCGGCTGTGTCGGCCAGCCGAGCAGGGGCAGCGGCGGCCGCGGCTAGCACGTCGACGCTGTCCTCCTTGGCGAGGGCGGCGGCGGGCGGGATGGCGGCGAGGCTCTGGCGGGGCGTCCCCGGCGCCGAGCCGGCCGCCGAGCTGGCCGCCGAGCTGGCCGCCGAGTTGCGCCGGCTGGCCGCAGACAGGGTAGCCATGCGGCCCAGCGCGCGAATCGCGTTGCCAGTTTTCTGTTGTTAGCGGACAAACACACGGGCACACGGGCGTTAGCGCAAGTCAAACACGCTTTCGACTCGCTCAGCGCGCTCAGCTGAGCGAGTGATAGCAAACGGCTGAGCACGGCGCACAGAGCACGGCAAACGCCAATACCGAGAATCGAGCCAATCAAGCCGGTACAATCTACTCATCACAAAGCCGCGGGCAAAAATCGACCGGCAGCCCGCACTGTTCTCGCGCCCGCACTAAGAGGTCACGGAATTGGGTTAAACCACACAAACTCGCAACGTGTAAAAAATGGTAGCATGCGCCTACTAAAAACACACTTGTTAAATAATAAACACTATTCCATCATCTAACACGCGCACTCACACAAAAAAATCACACTGCGTAGCTGCATGGTGTCGCCATGACGGAAGAAGAGGAGTACGGAGAGGTCTCTTCTCTGACAGTATTGCTGTGTAACTGATCTTAACATTTCCCAGTCCGACGGGAGATGACATCCAACCCCACTCACCTGCCACTTCCGCCTGATGATGAACTTCTTGAGCTTGTCCGTGCTGAGGGCGATGCAGCTCATGCTGGCGGGCTGCTGGGCCAGCCAGGGGTGGTCCAGACACTGACGGGCCGTCAGCCTCTTCCTGCAAAACGCAGAAACGCCATTTAGCTCAAAATCTCTTTTTCTCCGAAAGAGCGATGAAGTGCGATTTGTGGGCTGGCGTTGCTGCTGGGGACATCTAGAGAAAGTATGAGCATGAGCTAAAACTGATGCGAGATTCTTCCAGACTCGGTCACGTTCCATAAAGAGCCCTCCCCCACCCTACCCACAAGAAGGCTTATATTGTCCACAACCCGCCCAGATTTGCGTTATGAAAATGCCACGGATTCCATTCTCCCGCCCCCTTTTGCCATGTAACGCATACGCGTGGAGTTACCTGCCATAACGCTCTCCTCCACTCTCCCCCCGGGGGACTCTGTACCAACACCGGGCCGGGCGGTATGTACTCACTCCTTCCGCTTGACGAGCAGCGCGCTGATGAAGTCCCTGGCGTCCTGCGAGATGGCGTCGAACGCCTCGTCGTCGAAGTCAAAGTCGGCCCTCGTGATGTTGGCGAACGTCTCGGCGTCGTTGTCGCCCATGAACGGCGACAGCCCGGACAGCCTGTCAGTGGGAGAGGAAGAGAGGTCGTGAGAGGCGCCGGGAGGTTAGGCTACCCATCCGACACCGGGGCCGGAAAGGCTGCCGGCCGTAGCGCGAGGCAAGGCGCTCCACTCACAGCACGTAGCAGATGACGCCCACGCTCCACATGTCGGACTCGGTGCCGATGGGCTCGTAGTTGATGATCTCGGGCGGGATGAACTCGGGCGTGCCGAAGAGCACGCGCACGGGCGTGTCGGGCTTGAGCCGCTGCGCCAGGCCGAAGTCGATGAGCTTGATCTGGTGCGAGGTGCGCGTCTGGCACATGATGTTCTCCGGCTTGAGGTCGAGGTGCACCACCTGGCTCTCGTGCATGTAGTCGACGCCCTCGCAGATCTGGCGCATGAAGAGGATGCAGTCGCGCTCCGTGAGGGTGAAGTCGTCGGCCACCACGCGCTCGAACAGCTCGCCGCCCGAGATGCTGCAGAGACAGTAAAAGAAGGCCATGAACATTCACTCGCGCTCGACGGTTTCATGGCAGACGCTATATGCTTCCAACCCACCCACCCCCGTTCCTCGGTGAGCCGATGCTCCGCCGTATTCCGATCAGCGACTCGCCCCTCTCCCCCCTCCGCTCCCTCGGGGGGCCCTCTGGCGGCGGCGGCGACCGCGCCCAGCCAGTCGCATGTTTGACTTGACCTCCCCTCTCCAACCCCTTTCCCCTCCGCACGTGCGAATCGAAAGAGGGGTTGAGGGTGACGCATAGCATTTGAGCCCTGCCATTTTTCCACCCTTCGCATTTTTATCTGCGGCGGCGTGGCGGGGCGTGGCGGAGCGCTGCTTCGCCCTTACCGGCCATGATATGGAAATGTATAACCCCGCCCGCCTCCCCCGCGCCGCC